CAGCTTAAAGGTTACAAGCAAAACAAAAGCACCTGGGGTTAGCACAGAGGAGTCCACAAGCCATAAAGAAATAAAAGAGATAAACCTAATTGCGTCTTCCTAGACATTTCCTGATCTACTTACATATCTGGGGTTTCAAATGAGTAGTTTCTAGGGATGATTTGATGATTTTTCATACCTGGCTCAAAGCTTCTTACAGCATTGCTGCTCTGTGTCTCCTCTCCGGGAGAACAACCACAGACAGACAAAAGGGGAGTCTTGTTTCAATTTTAAAAAGTTCTAGCCTTCCCATTGGCTCTTTCGGCCAGGTGCCAACTCACTTCCCTTTACCTATGCATGCAGTCAGACTTTTTAACCGTTTACAGGTAAAGCAAGTAGAGAACAGCTACTAACAGGGATTTTATAGCTAACTGGCTGGTTGGGTGTCGATAAAAGGTAGCTACCCCGCCCCCCCGCCTTCATTTATCACACCTTTGCTCATCCTGCATGGGGAAGAGGGCTAGAAAAGGTGCCCTAAACCTAGGCTGTCTCATACACTCCTGGCTGGATTACCACATCCAGTGGGATCACTCTGCCTGCGGTTGAAGCTATAAAAAGACAGTGACTTTTGCTGCATATAATGTTCGCACCCTAATGTATAACAAAGATAATGTACGGCCGGAAAGAAGAACTGCTATCATCGCCAGGGAACTTGCAAGATATAACATTGACGTCGCTGCCCTGAGTGAGACAAGGTGCCCAGATGAAGGTCAACTGAAAAACAAAAAGGTGGAGGCTACACCTTTTCCTGGAAAGGAAAATCTGCAGAGAACAGGCGCGTTCATGGTGTTGGTTTTGCTATTAGGAATAAGTTTGCCATTCAGCTTACAGAATTTCCTGTAGGAATCAATGAATGTCTTATGACTCTTCGTCTTGAGCTCAGCAACACTCGTATGCCCCAACACTTGATTCTATCGAGGATATCAAGGAACAATTCTATACAGATCTTGACAGAGTCTTGACCAACATTCCCAAGGAGGACAAGATCATTCTCCTCGGAGATTTTAACGCTAGAGTCGGACGGGAGTCAAATCTCTGGAATGGATCTGGAGTAGGAAAGGCTAACTCCAACGGCATCCTCCTCCTGAGCAAATGTGTAGAACGTGGCCTGATCATCACAAACACCCTCTTTAGACAAGGTGAGACGTACAAGACCACCTGGAGACACCCTCGCTCCAGGCACTGGCACCTTCTTGACCACGTTCTTGTTAGAGCTCGAGATCAGAAGGATGTCCGCGTCACGAGGGCCATGCATGGAACCAATGACTGTTGGACAGACCATCACCTTGTTAGATCAATCATGAATTTCCAGATCACCTCCAGGCATCGCAAGCAGGCAAAATCAGTATGAAATAAATTCAACGTCAAGTCCCTTGAAGATATAGTGACTCGGGAGAAACTTCAGCAGTGTCTCCAAGAGAAGTTTGCCACAATATCAGTAGACCACAATGAATTGCAAACTGGCTCACAGACAGCTCTGAAAAAGTAGGGACTCATGAGGGTGCTTGCTTCTAGTGGGGTTCTGCAGGGATCAGTGGTAGGCCTGATGCTATTCAACACTCTGATCAATGATCAGGAAGTAAATATAAAATTGCTGCAGATAAAATTTGCAGATGACACAAAGACTGGGGGAGTGGTCAATAATGGCTGGTCAGGTCATTGGTACTGAATGGTCTGGATCACTTGGTATGCTGGATCCATGGAAACAAAATACATTTTAATACAAATACAGAGTTGTACATCCAGGAACAAGGAATGCAGGCCACACCCACAGAATTGGGGCCTGTATCCTGGGAAGCAGTGACTCTGAAAAGGATTTAGGGGTCATAGTGGCCAAACAACTCGACATGAGCTGCCAGTGTAATGCTGTGGCAAAAAGTGCTAATACGATCCTGGGATGTTGTGACATTGTGTCGTCCTGCTCCTGTCTCTTGTCTAGCCACAAACCACTCAGAGACCTTCTTCTGGTCAAACATCTTGTGCAATTTATTTACAGTGTACTTTCCACACCGCATTTACAAACTGGTGACGCTCTGTACTTACCATGGCATGCATTGCCTAGCTCCCTCCGCCAAGGAGGGGGGAGACAGAAGGTATCTTCCCTCGAGACGCTCTTGGCTCTGACTCTCAGAAGCCTGCCAGTGTCTCTCTTTTCCCCAAGCACTTCCTTCCTGTGCCTTTCTACTCTCTGGGCTAATGAGCTGTAGCTCTCTCCAGCCCATCCCCAGTCTATCAGCTGGGCACAGCTTTGCCCGGAGGTTTACTCCAGGGTGACCCAGTGATCAGAGTGCTAGTACAGGTGCTGTTGGCCAGCACTCTGTCACAGTTGTATAAACAGGAGTAGCGAGTAGCAGGTGATTTTACCTCTGCATATGGCACTGGTGAGATAGAATTTGGAACGCTGCCATGGGTGGTGGGTATCATTGGCCAAGGGAGACTCTGCCTCCCCCGGTGCTGCCGCAGCTGCCGGACCCCCAGTTGCAGGGTTTGGCGGCAAAGTTTTTGCTTTATTATGCCCCATGCAGGTTCTGGGGTGGCTGAGGAGGCACATACTGCCTCCTCAGCCGCCCAGGAACCTGCATGGGGCATATCAAAAGCATCTTCTAACAGACGCTTTTCCCCTGGGCAGGTTGGGTCCGGGGAGGGGAGGCACAGCCCGGCTTTGGCCAGACCGGGGCTCCTCTGAGCAGGGGGAGGCTCGGGGCTTCAGCCAGCCTGGGGCTCCTCCGGGCAGGGGGAGGGGAGGCTCCGGTCTTCAGCCAGCCCTGGGCTCCTGCGGCCGGGGAGGGCAGGGGGATGGGGACTTGTGGCTCCAGCCATGGGAGGGGGGGCAGGGCAGGGAGGTCTTGGGGCTCCAGCTGTGGGGAGGGCGCAGGCAGAAGGGGCGGAGCTGGGGGCTAGCCTCCCCAAAGCGGGGCTCCACCCTGCCGCCCATGAACACTGTGTCCAGTTCTGGTACCCACATTTTTAAAAGGATGTTGAAAAATTGGAGAGACTGCAGAAAAGAGACATAAAAATGATTGCAGGGCTGGAGAAAATGTGTTCTTCTTCAAGTGATGTCCCTGTGGGTGCTCCACTTCGGGTGTCAGTGTGTCCCTGCATCGTTGATCGGAGAATTTCAGCAGCAGTGCCCGTCTGGGTCGTGCATGCACTGTTCCTGTCTCGTGGCACCGTTGGCGCCTCATCTAGCACGTGCAACCCGACCCCCTCAGTTCCTTCTCAAACGTCCTCAGCCAGAGACGGAGCTCCCAGTGGTGTCCTGACTAGCTTGTTACACACTTATAGAAATAGTTAAAAGTTTATAGTTAGTTACTAGTTGGTTACTTATCCTTCCTTGTGTTAAAAAATATTATTTTTTATATTTCCCTCTCAGACCGTTAGGGTCTACACAGGGCCAACCACCCCCAGTCAGCTATGCCTGGTTCACCAGGATTTAAACGATGCACATCATGCCCCGACGCGCTGTCTGTGTCAGGTGGACATTCACTCTGCGTCCTCATGGCAGATGAAATTCAGTGTTGATAACTGCAAAGTAATGCACATTGGAAAACTATACATATAAAATGATGGGTCTAAATTAGCTGTTACCACTCAGGAAAGAGATCTTGGAGTCATTGGGGATAGTTCTCTGAAAACATCCATTCAATGTGCAGCGGCAGTCAAAAAAGCAAACAGAATGTTAGGAATCATTAAGAAAGGGATAGATAATAAGACAGAAAATATCATATTGCCTCTTTATAAATCCATGGTACGCCCACATCTTGAATACTGTGTGCAGATGTGGTCGCCCCATCTCAAAAAAGATATATTGGACTTGGAAGAGGTTCAGAAGAGGGCAACAAAAATGATTAGGGGTATGGAACAGCTTCCGTATGAGGAGAGATTAATAAGACTGGGACTTTTCAGCTTGGAAAAGAGACGACTTGGGGGGGATATGATTGATGACTATAAAATTATGACTGGTGTGAAGAAAGTAAATAAGGAAGTGTAATTTACTCCTCCTCCTAACACAAAAACTAGGGGTCACCAAATGAAATTAATAGGCAGCAGGTTTAAAACAAACAAAAGGAAGTATTTCTCCATACAACGCGCAGTCAATCTTTGGAACTCCTTGCCAGGGGATGTTGTGAAGGCCAAGACTATAACAGGGTTCAAAAAAGAACTACCGGTAGATAAATTCATAGAGGAAAGGTCCATCAATGGCTATTAGCCAGGCTGGGCAGGGATGGTGTCCCTAGCCTCTGTTTGCCAGAAGCTGGGAATGGACGACAGGGGATGGATCACTTGATGATTCTCTGTTCTCTGTTCTGTTCATTCCCTCTGGGGCACCTGGCATTGGCCACTGTCGGAAGACAGGATACTGAGCTAGATGGACGTTTGGTCTGACCCAGTATGGCTGTTCTTATGTTCTTATGCCTTGGTGAGTTGCGTATTCCCCCAAAATGCGCTCACTGCAGCATTCTGAAGGCCAGATGGGCACTGCTACTGAAACTCTCTGATTAACAGTGCAGGGACGCACCGACACCTGAGGTGGAGCACCCACAGAGACACACATCTCAAAGAACCTGTTACGTTACTGCACGGGGTGAGTAACCTTCTCTTACAGTGACAGACTGAGGGCTTGTCTAAACCGAGAGCTAGTGCACAGAAAGCTGGGGTGTAAATATACAGCACAGTAGCTTGTTGTGCACTAACTGGCTGTGTGGATTCTGCTACTGTGCACTATGTTTCAATTCCCTCAAGCTGTGGGGTGTTAGGTATGTCTCTGTCAACATGTTACCAGGGCATGTCCTGGCAGAGGTTCAGGGAGGTCATATGCCTGAGTGAGAGAGTTGCCTTGGGGCCTGTGCCCAGAGGATCCCTTCTCCATGCCAGTGCTGCTCTGGGGCTGCAGTCTCTGTTACCTGGGACTCCTGACTTCTGCCATGACCTTGTGGTTTTTGTTCTTTGCCTCCTGGTAGGCTGTGTGCAGTTCCTTGAACAGCCCACTATGGCTTTTGTCCGGCTGAATGAGGCTGTCTTCCTGGAATCTGTCCTAGAGGTCCCAATTCCGGTCAGGTTCATCTTTGTCCTGCTGGGACCCAGTCAGGCCAACGTCGATTACCACGAAATTGGACGGTCCATTTCTACCCTCATGTCTGACAAGGTGAGGCGCTGGGTGTGCATTCCTGCTAGAGCATGGGGAATGGTGGTATGGTGGTACAGAGGTCAGACACAGGACAGGAAAGCTGCAGAGACGCTGCACCAAGTCCCTTCTGGACAGGGGTTAGGGACAGGGAGCACTGGGGGGCACAGGTCTTATCAGAGAAGCCAAGCCTGGGACAGGGAGGATGGCCCAGTACAAAAGAAAATCTTTTTCACTAGGAGGGTGGTGAAGCACTGGAATGGGTTACCTACGGAAGTGGTGGAATCTCCTTCCTTAGAGGTGTTTAAGACCCGGCTTGACAAAGCCCTGGCTGGGATGATTTAGTTGGGGTTGGTCCTGCTTTGAGCAGGGGGTTGGACTAGATGACTTCCTGAGGTCCCTTCCAACCCTGATATTCTATGATTCTGTGAAAGAGAAAGACCAGGACAGACATCAGGCTGGGACAGGAAGTGCTAAATTGGGAGGTGAACACAAAAGGAGAGATCCCCAGAACCTTCATTCCAAGGGCAGGAGTGAAGGGGTCCTCAGAGGCTGGCAGAGGAGAAGAGGTCATTGTGCTCAGTTTGTGTGTACTTCCAACATCCAGCGCAAGGCAGGAGGGAGAGTGCTCTGAAATGGCAGAGGAAGAATGAGAGGAGGGTTGATGCTTTTGGGTGTCAGTGCCCAATGCCTGGCACAGGGAACACGGACATCAAGAGCTAGAAGTGATAGTGACTGTTGCAGATTATTGTCTAACCTTAGATTCTAAGGACTGAATAGCGTGGCAGTGAAACTCATTCTCTGACAAGGAATGACAAAGGAGAGACAATTATAGGCTCCTGCTGCAGACATCCAGGGTTGGAGGAGAGTGAGAATGAAACATTCCTGGACTAGCTTTCAGCGTCCTCTTGGCTGCAGGAGATTGTACATAGGAAACTTTATATCCCCAGCTGTTTGCTGGGTAACAAACCCAGCCAGATCGGCGTCAGCACAGAGACTCCTAGGCTGCATGGAGTGCAGTTTCATGATCCAGACGTCGGGAGTCCATCCAAAGAAGCCTGGGGGATCTGCTGGTTATTGCTCAAGAGGGACTGACTGGGACTGAGAGACTAACAGGGAAACTTGAGTGATTGGAGGGGAGTTTGGCCGAATGCCCTGCGCTCGGCACTAGACTGTTCACGCAGAGCAGGTGGCTCCTTGGCTTCTGAGGGCTCTCAGCTGAAAGACACCACAGAGTGAGGTGCATGGGCCTGATGGGCCGAGCCCAGGACTGGGAACCGGGAGCCATAATGTTCTAACCCTGGCTCTGCACTCACTTTCTGGGTGGCTCTGAGCAGTCCAGTTCCCTCTCCCTCCACTTCTCTGCCAGTGACCTGGGGAGGATGGTAGTGACCTGGCACACAGGTGTGAGGATTAGCTAGTTGGTGTTGGTGCCGTGGTTTGGCCATGTCAAGCGCTGGGTATCAGAAGGCTGCAGGGCCACGTTAGCCTTGCCGGGATCTGAAGCTGCAGCTCCATGGAGTCTGTAAGTTGCAGAGAGCTCAGCTGTCCCTGACCTCCTTAGAGGCTTCTAATTCCGTCCTAATTCCCCGTCCCTTTCTCTGCAGACATGCTCTGAAAGCGGTGTAGTACCTCAGCCATTTCACAGTCCTCGTTAAACTCCTCCCTCCGTTGTTAATGGGCCTGTTTTTTTCCTTGCACTACTGTCTCCCCTGCTTTCTCTAAACCTCTCCTCTTCCTTTAACTTTCCGGGCAGCAGAAACTTAGGCATGGTTTACACTTGAAAGTTAGGTCGACGTCACTACAGCTTGCAGAGGTTCACATCCCTGAGCGCCGTAGCTATGACAAGCTAACCCCAGTGTAGATGCGGCTAGGTCAGTGGAGGAGTGCTTCCGTCGACCAAACTACCACAGCTCGGGGAGGTGGATAACCTACAGCAATGGAAAAACCCCTCCCGTGGCCAGAGGTAATATTTACGCTACAGTGCTACAGCGGCATAACTACGGCACCACTGTAGAGCCATTAGGGTGACCAGATGTCCCGATTTTATAGGGACAGTCCTGATATTTGGGGCTTTTTTTTATATGGACTCCTATTACCCCCTACCCCTGTCCCGATTTTTCACACTTGCTATCTGGTCACCCTAAGAGCCATAGTGTAGGCGTGGCTTTACTCTCCATTTTTCCTGCCCTTTCCTTGCAAGAATTCCCTCTGGCAGTTCCCATTTGGCTGCCTCCCCCATGTCACATGTCCCTAAACTCAGGTCTCTGAGAAGCCCCTGGCACCGACTGCCCCTTGTGCCTGGCATTCCAAGTTCTGTCATAGTTTCATAGAATTTAAGGCTAGAAGGAACCATGAGCTCATGTGCTATCACCACTTGTATACCACAGGCAATTAAACTTCACCCAGATACCCCTTGTTAAGCCCAAAGACCTCGGTTAGACCAAAGCATGCAGAGGGAGGCGAACTCCCCCACCCCACCCCAAGGTTTCTGCCAATCTCACCCGAGGGGTGGAGTGGGAATTCCTTCCCCACTCCAGATCTAGCGATCAGAATGACCCTGAGCATGTGAGCAACACATCCCAATCAGGCGTTTAGAAAGAGTACTCTCTGTACCACCTCAGAACACTGTCCACCCCACCAGTGTGCCATCTCCAATTGTGGCCAATCGCTGATCCTTCAGAGGAAGGTGAAAAAAACACCCAGAATACGTCTGGCCAATTGTGCACTGGGGGAAGAAAAATTCCTTCCTGACTCCTGCAGGCGTCTGGGTGAAGCCTTGAAGCATGACATTTGAGTATAGTCATTTTCTTAAGGCAGAACTGGAGATGATTCGAGCATTGAGGGCAATCCAGGCAGCGCTGTTCTCTTGTGCCTTAGTTACAGTGCTTTACAATTCCCAGCCTTTCCCCACAACACTGGTTTCCTCCCTGTTAGTCTGTCAGTGCGGCAGAGTGCACAAGATGAGACTAGAGAGAACACTGCTCTTTTGTGTCACATCAGGAATTTGGATTCTGATCCAAGTGGACCAGCGATCTGATCTATTTATGCCCCATCTATCCAATTTTTATACTCCATCCATCTCTGTGGTCCCTGAGTGCCTGACTCACCAGTCAACTGGATTCTGAACTAGAAGGAGCATCTCTTTGACTCCTGGTATTTAGAGACGATGGAGAAAAGTCCCTTAGAACAGCATAAAACTGCTCCATAACCCTGGTGTGACAGGAGCTATGATACTGGCTAGATGAGCACATTGTTCTGATACCAGGTGATAGGGATACCTAGCTAGCAGCCTCACTGGTCTGATCCAACACATGAAGGAGAAGAGAGCCCAAGGGCGGCATGGAAAGGGGGGCAGGGATGCTGGAGCATGTGGGTCTGTTGGGCTGTGGCAGTAAGGCAGGTGCTGTGCTTCTGCAGCTGCAGAAGTAGTCTGGTAGTGTCTTTGGGTTGGTTGAGCCTCCTGTCTATCTTGCAGCTCTTCCATGAGGCTGCGTACATGGCTGACGACCGCCAGGACCTCCTCAATGCCATCAACGAATTCCTGGACTGCAGCATTGTCATCCCCCCATCAGAAGTGGAGGGGAAAGACTTGCTCAGGTCTATCGCTACCTTCCAGAAAGAGTTGCTGAGGAAGAGGAAGGAGAGGGAGCAGAAGAAGTCCATGAAGGAAGGGGCTGTCCAGGAAGCTAAAGGTCTCTTCACTCTGTTTTGGCAGATAATGAATTTCATCCAGTGTCTCCCTGTCTGCCCTGGGAGGGTGCAGTGGGGGCTGTGCCATGGGCACTGGCTGGGAGGCCTCTGTGCCTCCCCCTGGCACAGGATAAAGCGAGGACAACTAGTGTGGGGTGAGCGGGGCTGAGTCCTGCAACAGAGATGGGGATGTGTGGGAGGACCCAGGGGGCAGAGCGCGGCCATGGGGTTGGCAAGCCCAAGAGGGCAGAGCATGGCCATGGGGGGTGGGAAGCCCGGGGGGCCGGAGAGCGGCCATGGGGGGGGGCAGCAGGCCCAGGGGGCGGAGCACAGCTGTGGGGGGAAGCCCAAGTTTCATGTGAGGTGTGTAGGGAGCCTGCCGAGCTTCCCCCCTGCTCACCTGTTCTCTGGGAGATGGGTGTGTGCCAGCATCTGTCCCCAGGAGAGAGGGGTGGTTCTCGTTCCTACCTTCCCGTTGTAACCCCCATACACCATGTCTCCCCAGAGCTGTGTGAAGTGAAGGCTGAGGAGGAAGAGGAGGGGGACGCTGAGGACGACCCATTGAGGCGAACCGGCATTTGTTTTGGAGGTCTGGTTCAGGACATAAAGCGCAGGTACCCCAAATATCTCAGTGACATCAGAGACGCCTTGCACAGCCAGTGCCTTGCAGCCGTTCTCTTCATCTACTTTGCTGCTCTCTCTCCTGCCATCACCTTCGGGGGACTCCTAGGTAATGGGCCTGCTTTCTGTCTGCTCTTTGCACAAACTAGCCCGGGCTGGGCTGGGGGCGCTGGCTCTGCCGTCTGAGATTCTGTGCCTGCACTGGCCTGAGGGCTCTAGCGCTGCTCGCTCAGGAGGCTGTAGCTGTGCTACGCACATGGCTTGTACTCTCTCCCCGTAACTCGGCCTCTCCAGCTCCAGATCCGTTTGGGGCTCTTTTCTGAGCACCCTGCAGGGTGTTTGAATGCAGGATTCTAAGGGTGGTCACAGCAAAGCTAGAGGGGTTCTACCCTCAAATGTGAGCCCCCCTGCCCAGTGCAGGGCGGTTATGTCTGTGCAGGGGGGAGGAGGGGACTCCCTGCCCGTGAATAGTGTATCCGCACCAGAGTAACTGTATGGGGGACTGTGCTCTCCGCAGGGCTTCTTATCACATACACGTTGTTCTCTCTTAGGAGAGAAGACAGAGGGTCTCATGGGGGTCTCGGAGCTGATCATCTCCACCTCAGTTCTGGGGATCCTGTTCTCCCTGCTTGGAGCTCAGCCGCTCCTTGTCATTGGTTTCTCGGGGCCCCTTCTGGTATTTGAAGAAGCTTTTTTCAAGGTACTTGTAAGCCATCATGTCACATGTTGCCCCACGCTTCCTCTGCCATTGTACTGTGCTTCGCTTGCCATGGTTTGTCTGATCAGAGGGGCTAGCTGCACTCCTCTGATGCCGAAAGGGGTGACTCCTAAACGTTCCTGCAGACTGTCACCATACCACAGGTCACCCAGTGCTGGCCCTGCCCTCCTGCCTGTCCTTTCCAGCTCACACCAGTCAGTTCTGCCTCCTCTCACCATGGTCCACTCCACTGAGTCTGTCTAGGATTGTGATTTTATTAATGCTTCGCAGTGCTGTCCTAGCCAGCAGCCCTGATATAAGCTCCTGCCTGAACCAGGCCCTGATCTGCATTGCTGTGGTGAGTGCTTATACATGCAGCCCACGCTCCTTTTCTCTGTCACTTTTTCTCCTCTTTTGGATGAGGATTTTCCAGATTCAGTTAACTGTATCCCAGTGTAGCCTGCATCCCATGCAGTCCAGTCCAGTCTCTCTAGGAGAGCAGTAACAACTCACCTAGCATTATTCTTCATTTCTGATGTGGCAGCAGGGGATTTCATATTGTGGTTATTTGTGCTGCCTCTTGCTTATCCCCGAGTTATGTTCAAGGAGGATCTATGCCAGTCAGTTTGGAGACGTCTTATTCTTGTACATCTTTACGTTGTGGACTGTGGAAAGACAATGTCTTTCAGTGTCAAGTACAGTGCTTCTAGTCACTCTTTTTTCCACATTTCCAGGGAGTCTGTCTCTCTTGGTTTTCAAGTGCTTTCTCTTATGCCTTTCTATTCCATGCAGAATGTAAGGGCATCACCACTGTCTTCCATCTTTGCCAGTCTCCTGCTGCAGTCTTAGCTTCTTCCCATGTCATTTTGGGAGCTTTCCATTCTGCTTCTGTTGTGTGTTTGCATGTTATCCTTGGTCTCTCTTGTTACCTCTCGCCCTGGTGCTCCATGTCTTGTCCTGTTATTCAGGTTTTTTCTCCACATGTGTCCTAGCCAGCTCCATTTTAGTTCCATAACTTCCTGTCCTATTGGTTTCTGTTTCATCCTCTTTCAGAGTTCCTTATTTGTAATTTTTTTCTGGCCATCTGGTATTGAGCATTTGTCTAAGGCAGCTGTTTATGAAAAATTGGAATTTTGATAGAAAGGTCGAAATAAGTCTCCAACTTTCAACATCACTTCGTAAGACCAGCTTTACAATTGTATTAAATATCTGAAGTTTAGTTTGGAGGGCAAGATTTCAGTTTTTCCAGGTTGGCTTTAGAGTTACAAAATATGTCTGGCTTTTGCTATTCCGGCTTTAATGTCCTCATCTGTTCCACCTGTTGTACTTACAGTGCTACCAAGATATGTGAAACTCTTATCAGAACTCTTTTATGTCAGTCCCAGAAAGTGTTATTAGTGTGTCTTGTTATGTGTTGATTCTCATGGTTTTAGTTTTCGCTGTGTTGATCTTCAACCCTGCTAACTGTGCATAGGCCTGGAGAGAATACATTTTGGCTTGCATGTCTCTAAGGGCATGGGATAGCAAGTTGATGTCCTCTACAAAGTCAAGGTCCTCTAACTTCTGTGTGACAATCCATTGCATAGGTGCCGACTCTGTGGGTGCTCCAGGGCTGGAGCACCCACGGGGAAAAATTGGTGGGTGCTCTGCACCCACCAGCAGCCAAGCTCCCCTCCCCACCCCTCTGCCTCACCTCACCTCCGCCTCCGCCTCTACCCCTGAGCGCACTGCGTCCCCACTTCTCCCCCAGCACTTGCCGCCACGAAACAGCTGTTTCGCAGCGTAACAAGCTCTGGGAGGGAGGGGGGAGGAGTGGGAACACGGCTTGCTCGGGGAAGAGGTGGGGCCAGGGCAGGGATTTGGGAAAGGGTTGGAATGGGGGCGGGGCAGGGGTGGAGTCGGGGTGGGGCCTGGGGCAGGGGTGGGTTGAGCCCCCACCGGCGCCAGCAGAAGTTGGCGCCTATGCTCCATTGTATGCCCCTTAGTTGTTCTATAGTGTTTCTCATTACCCAGTCCACTACCAGTAGAAAGATCGTGGGTGCCATAAGACATCTTTGTCTGATGCCCATAGTAACCTCGAAGGGCTGAGTCAGTTATGTATTACTTGACATGTCATATTTTCATAAAAGCTCCTTATGAAAATTTCTGAGGATTCCATTGTAGCATAGCAACTTCCATAACCCTGTTCTATCCACTGTATCCATGGCTTTTTGGAAATCCATACAATTCGTATAAAGTGGTGACTGCCATTTGATTGACAGTTCTGTGGTGATCCGTAGTGTTTATTATGATTAGATTACTAGTTTGGGGTTGTGGATTTTGTAATGGGTGAAGGCCTGTCGGAGTTCTTTGCTTCTTCCTAGAGAGCAGCACAATCTCTAGCATCAAGCGTTTGTGATTTGTTCCTCCCCATGTGTAGTGTTCTCTGTGCTTGAGTGGGGTTGTCTATACTGTTGTTCCTGGCATTAGTAGCCAGGCTTGCGTAGGAGTGGAGCATGTTTATGGTTTGGGGCTGGAGCGTGTGGTGCTTTGACTGAGGTGGTATCCGAAGCACAGTGTCCTGTGCATTGACTAGCAGAGGGAGTTTTTCTAGGTCTGTTCAGCTGCCGTTGGTTGGGAAAGTTCCTTTACATGCCTACAGCGGGGCTTGTTGGACGTTTGTCTGATGGGGGTGTAGTCTGCCTTACAGCTGAACCCCGGCATGTGGACTGGTCTCTCCTGGGGGGGCTGGTGACTAGACTGAGCAGGAGTTTTCCTGGGGAGCTGTGTTGGTGTCATGGTTTATTTGTAGCATGGGAGCAGGGCAGAGGGGATGTGCAATGCACAGTGTGCCCTGGGATGCACCCTAGTAACTAACACTACAGTCTGAGCAGGACAGGCCCAGTGAAACAACAGATACTAAGTCTGTGACTTTACTCAGCAAATGAAGCATTTCCTGTTCCCTCCACCCCTACTTTAACCCCTTCCCTGCCAGGCTACATGGAAAATTGTACACACGCCATCCTAGAAATTGATAAAGAACTATGTAGAATGGGAGAGAGGGAAGGAGGGGGTCTGGGAGAGCAGAGGGGAGAGGCTGTCCCATGGGCCATGATTAACCCTTCATTTTCCTATTTCAGTTCTGCCAGAGCCAAGGCATCGAGTACCTGACGGGCAGAGTGTGGATTGGCCTGTGGCTCATCGTCTTCATCTTCATCATTGTGGCAGCTGAAGGCAGCTTCCTGGTGCGATACATCTCGCCCTTCACACAGGAGATCTTTGCCTTCCTCATCTCCCTCATCTTCATCTATGAAACCTTCTATAAACTCTACAAGGTGAACTGTCCCCAGGGAGAGGTGCTAGTGTCTGCCCAGCTGTCTGATCTAGCACTTGCCACCGTAGTGTCCACGTGCCTCCCACAATCGATAGAGAGAACAATAGCAACAGCGTCTCTGATGCAGGGCCAGGGTGCTGTAGCATTTCTGGCTGGGCCTGTGAAACAGTTCTTTACCACCTCTCAAGCCCCCAAACACGAGTGCCCCCTGTGTGCTGTAACCACGTCGCTGTGCACAGGTATTGGGTGGAGCATAGCGGGACACACCCCAAACCTTCTATCCCTTCCCCTGCAGCAGCACCTTGACACATAACTAGTTTTTTCTTTTCTTTTCTTCCTCAACCTCCCTGGTGCCGGTAGATTGTGAGATGAGTTATTTGGGGAAGTGCAGTGATGGGCTTGGCAACACACAGGGCTGTGCTCACACTTGATTGTCGTGACTGCACCCTCTGCTTGTCTCCCCTGTCCAGGTCTTTGCAGAGCATCCTTTGCTGAAGTTTTACCCGCCGAGTTTGCAGACTGGCTTGAATGCCAGCGCACTCTCTCCTGATGCCATGTCTCTGGGAACCAGGATGCAGCCCAATACTGCCCTCCTCTCACTCATCCTCATGCTGGGCACCTTCTTCATCGCTTTCTTTATGCGCAAGTTCAAGAACAGCCGTTTCTTAGGAGGCAAGGTAAGCGGCTGAGCTGTGACCCAGCGGCCCCATCCTGTGGCCCTTTCATCCACCATGCATCCCTTCTGGCTGCACACTTCTGCCCTCTGTGGCACCCACATTATCTATTCTAGCATGTCTGAACCTGGTGCCCTGTCCTGGCTCACATGGTCTTACCAGGCCTATGTGGGCAAAGGGCTGTCTGTGCTGATAGGAAGCTGCCTGAAGAGAGAGCTGGCACCCTGGTTTGTTGTCTCTCTCTCCAGGTGAGTCTGGTGCCATCAGGGACCGCCCCCGTCAAATAAACACCAACAGTCCTCTGAATGCCATTGGAGAGGGCAGGCTCCCTTGGCACAAGGCCAAGGCCATAGATAAGACCTGGCTGCTGCTGACACTTCTCTGTCCTACCCACATCTGCCCCAGGGTATCTTCAGATGGAGGGATCCAGCAGCCCAAACGCTGCTTGGGCCTAAGCACTTCAGGCCCTCAGCAGGGCTTCTCTGGCTGGATCCAGAGTCAAGGGTCTGCTAAACTGGAGCTTTACAGCCTTAGGGACTGGTGGGTATATGAGTCTCCATAGGTCAGGCTAATCTTAGGGGACTGGACTCCAGTATGTGTCATTGACCTGGCATGGAAGGAGGGATAAACTTAATTTTAGTTCTCTCTGTGATCCGCCTGTCTGCCCATCTGAGGCGCTAATACAGCACTCAGTGCCATGGGACCCGAGTGCTTTTCTAAGGCGTTTCCAGCTAGAAGGTGCCTGGTGAATGCTGGCTTCCCACCCAGTCTCCCAGGGGCCAGATGGTGTCTGGAGCAGCCCAGGTACCTGAATGTGGCTAGAGAGCAGCTGGGGCCCAGCCAGGGAGAAAAGCAGCCCAGTGGGGTCAGGGAGTGACCAGAGCTCTTGTATCCTCTGCTCATTAGCAGCATTCACATTTGTAGTGGGCACCTGGCCCATCCCTTGGCTGGATGGATCGTCGGCCTGTCTCGGGGCTCTGTACAGTGCCTGGCATTGTAGCAGTCTCTAAGCGCTTGGCTGCGCGTTCCCACTGAAGCTTGTTTGCTTTGCAGGCTCGACGGATCATTGGAGACTTTGGAATCCCCATCTCGATCCTGGTCATGGTCTTGGTGGATTACACCATCACAGACACGTACACACAGGTAGGTGCTGGCGCTCCCATCAGGCCCGGACACCAGCCCAGCACGTATGGGACTACCGATTGTTCCATTCACTGTGCTTGTGTAGCTAGATGTTTTTGTGTTTCCCACTTTCTCAGTCAATACAATGCCAACCAAAGAGAGATTTTTGTGCACATACTTCTGCGAATCAGAGCTGTGGGAGCAGCCCCGGGAGGCACTGAGACCTACCAAGATATGGGTCAGAGCCCTAAGGGATTGAGGGTTCCTGCGACACCAAGAGCCAGATCAGAACTGTGCAGGTTTGAGGGTCTGCCTGTTGCCGAGAGCTGGATTAGAACTGTGTGCAACAGGTCTGTGCAAGCTAAATAGGAGAAGGGAGGTGGTGTTCCCTCCGAATACAGCATTACGAAACCCATTACTGGAGGCTGTGTCCAGTTTTGGTGCCTGCACTTCAGAAGGGATACTGAGCCCCTGGGCTCAGAGACAGTTCAAGATCTGGAAAATCTCCTTCCCAGTAAGACTAAGGAGCTCATTGTATTTAGTGTATCCAAGAGGAGCAAAGAGGTGACTTGATCACTGTCTGTAAATACCTTCCGGGGGGGCGATTTCTGGCTTGTCTACATGGTGCATTAGTCTTCCCCAAGGGTGTAAATTCTAATGCACACTAGCGTGTTGTGGACTAACTGTCCTGTGTGGACCCTGCTGGTGTGCACTAAAAGTTTCCTTGTGCGCATTAATTTAGTATTGTTTGAAATGAGAACGTTTAGTCCACACCAGCAGAGTCCCCCTGAGCCACTTAGTACATGAAACCCTGGTTGCATCCCTGCCTCAGTTTCCCTTAACATACTTTCAAGAAGTCCAATGAGGCTTATATATATTGAACTGTGCCTCTACAAGGGTCTAGTTTATTCAATTCAAAATGGTGAAATGTGCTACGCAAATGAGCCTCCACACCAGCATCCGAGATGGGGGGAGAGAAGGAAGAAGGGGGCCAAATTAACCTTCGTCTATCAACTCCACTTATGTCCCTCTCCTGCCTCCATCCAGGCTCCTTACCTGTGAAGCGCTCTTGACCCAGGATCCTCTTCTGGAGTCAGGGCCTCTGGGGAAAGGTCCCCACAGAATTCAAACCAAGGCAGCCCTTGGCATATAATTCCTCTGTGATCTGCAGCTCCTGCTGAGGTTCTCTCACTGGGACCAAGTTCTGCTAGGGCTTGGCATTCACAGCTCTTCCCTTTCGAAGCCTCTTCTTTGGTCCCCTCGCCTGCTGAGCTCCGCACTGACCCCCGAGAAGAGCTCTCCTTAGGAGCTCTCTGTCTCTCTGCTCCACTCCCTGTCTGAGCCCTCATGACCCCGGGTACGGCCCGGGTGCTCCTTACCTACTGAACTGCCGTCCAGCTGGGTCGGCTCATTCTCCTTGGCGGAGCCTGTCACAGGCAGGCTGGGTACCTGCCCCTCCAGAGCCAGCCCCCAGGACAGTGCTTGACACACTAGTGCTCAGTAGAATTGAGACTCCCGAACCAGGTAGACAAGCCCTGAGAGCCAAAGCTCTTGAACCCAGCAGACAGAGGCAGAGCGACACCCAGCGGCTGGGAGCTGAAGTGAGACAAACTCAGACTAGAAATATGGCACTGATGTTTAACGGGGAGGGGACCCATCCACAGGAACAGGCACCCAGGGACGTGGTGGCTTCTCCATCACCAGGACTCTTCACATCAAGCTCAGGCGTTTCTTTCTATAACCTCCACCCCTGCTCAAGCACAGCCGATGGGGGGGGATGCAGGAAGGGAGGGATGAGGGTCTCTGGCGTGGGCTAAGCAGGAGCTCAGATTGGGGGGATGATAATGGCCCCTTCCGGATTTAACATGTACGATACCAAGGGCCAGGTCAGAGCCGTGCGGGGCTGAGACTCCCTGCAGTACCGAGAGCCGGGTCGGAGCCATAGGGGGCTGAGGATCCCGGCGG